ATGAGCATCACAGAATGCCAGGTTATTAGAACAAAGTCTTCTTATGTTGAGGGAGTATGTGAGTAGAGGCCCAATGTCCATAAGCTATCTTAAAACTTAATATATAAATACATGTACATAGATCTATTTATCTGTCCTTATGTATAAAAACATATTTACATATGTACTTGCCAGTATTTAGACCTCTATAAATGCCCTTTGTCTCCTAGTTCTTTCCTTTTGTCCCACTGTCATGTTTGGCCTTCATTCAGGCTTCCGTAATTCCTCTTGGTTACATTACCCTTGATCAAGCTCTACCAGGCATCCTATACCCTCCTTGCCATCAATTTTAGATCACTTGCTCCCTTGTCCCTGGGTTTATTAACACCCACTTCCTTTCCCCCACCTCCTCCTCTCCTGTGTTCCCCCGGGAGCCTTCGGTCCCGTTGTTTTCTCCTCTGGATTGTTTATCCTGCCTATCTTTATCTAATTAGACATGGAAAGACAATAATAAGCACAAAAACAAGACAGAAAAACAACAAAAGAAAACAAACAGAACAACAACAACAGAAAGACCAGAGGGGGTGGGGTGGGGGTGACTGAATAGTTCCAGGACTGTTTGTTGACCTTTAGGAGTGTTTTCCGGTTGAGTCTGATGAGGTGCCACACTCTGGCCTCAAAGTCTATCTTTGGTATTCCCCAGGGACTTCATTGCTTTGCTCCCTTTGCTGCTCTGTTGTATGTCCTTAGCGTTTCACCCTGGTGTGTGAGGTCAGATCGGGCACAATTCTCGCACTGTCTCCAGTGTTGTCCCTTGTAGCACTATAGGTCAGTGAGGGACGTCGTGTCTCATGGTGGGGCTGGCCATATGGTCCTCTTTGTGCATTGGCTGCTCTGAGCAGGAATATTGTCCTATTCTCTGTTTTAATAGCCAGTATTAAATGATATTCTAGAGACAAATGTTTTCAGATTTTATAATGCTGTTTCTTGAAGAGTGTCTCTTGACAAAAGCAGTGGTTATAACCAAAAATTACTTGTGAAGAGGCTTAAAAGGAAGCAAAGAACTATGGTATTCTAATACTTTTGATGGTTTGTTGTGATGTGGGGTAGGCTTAAGAAGGGTGGGGTATTTGTCTTAAAAACAAATAAGCTAAACAGCTTCCAAGCTATACTTTTTTCAGTGTTAGATGTCTTAGGGCTTAGAGTTAAACATATAAAATACCTTAATCAAACCCGTCTATTCCTCATTGGGGAGGCTGGCTTGGTTGAGTGGGAAGTTTTGACTGATAACTATGACAGACACAGAAGCCTATTTCCTTTTAGTTCTGTCTTCTCTTTGGATAGGAAGCTGCCTATCTTGGTAAGCATAGGCTTTCTCTTACTTTCTCCCGTTTTCAACTTAACATGCAGTTTCAGTATAAGGTACTGTCTATAATGCTGAAACAAT